GTGATTCTTAATCTTTTGGGATGGAAGGCATAATTATGGATCCCGTTGCAAATCCAGTGAAAGCTAAAGACCTCCTCCTCAGAAAAATTCACAAAAACACATCACAAATATTCCATTCAATTTCAAGGTCCCTAGGAGCTGGGATAAGAGCCCTTAGCCTTGAGCCTAAATGAACTGACCATTCTTCTGCCCACCAGATGGGAGCTCAGAATGCCTGAGCTCTGCAGAGCAGATGGAGTCTGAGGACATGCTGAGCGCCTTGGGCTGGAGCAGAGAAGACAGGCCAAGGCAGAACTCCAAAAGTGCAAACAATGCCTTCCCTACCCTGTCCCCCATGGTTGTCATGAAGAATGTGCTGGTCAAACAGGTGAGGAGGACTAATATTGCCTAAAGTCTTTGCAAGTAAAAATTTCTGAACTTCCTGTGTACAAAAGCTCTCCCTCTCTGCCAAGGAGATTTTAGAAACAGACCACTGGAACCGTACTTTGTGTACTTTCTGTCCTGGCCAGCGGATGTTATCTTTCAACTACTGACAGTTTTAAAAAGGAATATAAGAATCATGATGTGTGTTCTCATTTTAGAGACAGACTGTTTTATTTCTGTATTCATAGCTTGTCCAAAGGGACCCTGAAATGCTTTAGTCATATATAAAGGAACCAAGCAGAAATGGCACCACTTCAGTGATGCATTCTAACATACGGCAGAGTTTTAGGGTAGAAACAAAAGAATCTCTTTTTAACTTGAATTGCTCTGGGAATTTAGGAATGTAGAATGCATTTATTTGTTTCAGAAGTAGAGGCAATTTCCATGTTTCTTATGTCATATTCTGAGCATTTTCTTAGTCATCAGCCAGACCCATGTCCTAGCGACAAAGGTGCTCTTGGTTCAGGTATGGGAATACCAGCAGAATCCACACAGCATTGTCGTGAAGTTCAGAAATATGTTTGGGGCTTTATTACATAACTGTGTGCATTATGTGATTATTGTTCAGGTATGAAAGAAAAGACTGACATGAAAATCTAAATTAATCTGTAGTGTTTGAAACTGAGAACTCAAGCACATGAACTTGGTTAAGTTAGAAGAGAGAAATCTGAGGAATTGAAAAAGACTGATTGAAGCCAAAGAAATTTAACCTTACCCTACTTTACTCTGAACATACAGGGTAGAGGGAACAACAGAGAAACATTTGAACTTCAGCTTTGATGAACTCATCCAGAATTTCACAATTAGAAAATTTAGGAAGAAGCTTTTAAAATTTTAGCATAGATGTAAGTTTTGAGGTTTACAGATTGGTTTTGTTTTTATTGTTATGGAGCTCAGAGCCTCTAAAGGTCTAATTCTGCCTTGGGCCACACAAGTTCTCACGTAGATCATTGACGAGGCTACTCTCAAAGCTAGTGAGATTTGAAATCTGGCTTTAGTAGCTGACCTTCACATCTTAGGTAAAAGATTAGAACATGGCTGCACCCTGACAGGAAACCTTAAGGTCTTAGCTATCAACCTCTTTATTTCTGAGGAACACAAAGTGATTTTCAACAAGGCAGCCTGGTGAGTGCTGAAAGAGAATTTGAAGATTTTTTGCCTGGTAAATCACATCTCAGCTGGAAGCACAGCTCTCCTTACTGAAAGGAAACGAGAGAATAAAGACAAGAAATGGAGTCCACGTGAGATTGCCTGGCCTCACCAGTGCTACCCAGTGCTTTTCCTGGCCTTCCTTTCTCCTGGCTCTTTTTATCCCTTCATTTCTCTCTGGCTTCCTTGTCACTTTCTTGTGTGTCTGTGTTTATATCCCTTCTTTGTTGTAGGCTAGGCTGGCAGCTCCAGCAGGCTGAGAACAGCCCACACGCAGTTGAGGAGTGAGTAGGCTTTTCCAGCAGAGCCTCATTCTTCAGGACAAAGCCCCATCAGCAAGGCTGCTGGGCTCGAGCAGGAGCTAGGAGGCTAGGGGACAGGCTGGCCCAACAGAGTACTCTAAGAGTTTTGTTTTGTTTTTTAAAACATGCTAGAATCCAGCACATTCTAAAATCAAAATAATAATACACTTTTAAACACCTCTGCATATTGTGTAGTGTCTTGATTATTGCTTCTTGGTTTTAGATATTTCTCTTTTGATAGTCTGATTCCATTTCTGCCACTAGACAGTGTGATCTTACACACCACACAATTACTTAACCAACACGGATATTAGTTTCATCTTTAACGTAAAGGCTTTATGTGAAATGATTGTGAGATCCTGTCTAAGCCTGCAGTTTTGTTCCGTATTCCCTCAGATGATTTCAACGTGACTAATATAATTTGTAAAATCTAATAATTAGAACAAATAAGCTAAGTAGCTGTTAGGACGGCGGGCATAACAGCAGCATTAGGAAGAACAGTCCAGTAGAATCATCTTGTGAACGAAGTGCATTAGATATTTTCCTGACCCATTTGCCTTGTAGGTCAGCCCTTAGGATAGTGGGAAGTTTTGCTTCTGACTGAGCTGAAGTAGGCTGATCTCTAATTCAAAAGACCCCTGATTTTGGATTTCCTTTGACAGGGAAATGTTTCTGGGCCTAGCATTGGTTGCTTTTCTATATCCTAGAGTATATTTGAATACCAAGAGGGTTCCAGATCACCCCAGCTTTGGCACACGAGATGAATTATAGTTGGCCTAGAGTTCCCAGCCTGGCATCCAAGAAGCTGAAATGTGTGCAAAATGCTGTTTGTGTGCATGTGTGGGAAGGTAGTCCAAAACGTTCTTCAGATAAATCAAATGGCCCCACGTGACACTGCCAAGAATGAGAACCTCTGTTGGCTCACCCTCTGCCGAGCTTCATCTACATCCAGATCTTTGGAACTGGGTCGGAACTGAATTGGCTTTCAAATATTGGACACAAGCAGCCATGTCCTTCTTTATTAGATTTCATCTGAATCAATAATTATTAATAAAAATCAGGTGTAACTGCGGAGTAATATAACAAAGGCAGTATAACAATGCTTCAGATGGGTTTTAGAGTCAGAGTATGGAATCCTAACTGCATCACTTAGCTTGGTGACTTACAGCAAGTTATTTCAATTTTCTAAGCCTTGGTTTCCTGTTTATGAAGGGAAATGGTAACTACCTTAGGAGCTTGTTATGGGGATTAAATGAGATAATTCATGAAACATCACACATAGTGCTAGTCAGCACCAATACATAGTAGCTCTTATTATTTTCAATGGTTTTATGATTGTTGCATGTCACTGCCTTAAAAACAAGGGCCCTTAGATCCCTGACAATGTGTAACTTTTCAATCAAAAGTTATTCTCAGGTAAAAGACGTTCTGAGTATAATTAAGATACACTTTGGTGTAAAGTCACATTGTCTTGAGATTAGCACATTTTAACTTATGCCAGGATATCCCTGTTTTTATTGCCTCGGTTGTGACCTTAACTATGTCATTGTTTCACCTACCCATAATTTCTTTTTCTGAGTTATAGAACTTGCATAAAAATAGATATTTCCTCCAGTTTCCCTTTAGTAAAAGTAAAAAAAAAAAAAAAAAACAACTTTATAGACACAAATGGATTTTCAAGCCACTTCTTCAGTCACGTTCTTGACAAGGGCTACTCTGTATGCAAGGGAAGCTCTGTACTTGAAATGGTTATAAATGTCCGCGTATCTGCTCTGCCCCCTTGGCAGCTTCACTCTCTGTCCTTCCAGCAGTGACAAGTAGTGTGCTTCTCTCTTCCTTTGTTTTCAGGGCAGCAGCTCATCCCAGCTCCAGTCGTGGACTGTCCAGCCTTCCTTCGAAGTGATCTCCGCGCAGCCACAGCTCTTGTTCCTTCATCCACCCGTACCATCTCCTGTCAGCCTGTGTCACGCTGGCGAGAAAAAGTCGGACTCCAGGAACTACTTGCCCATTCTAAATTCTTACACCAAAATAGCCCCACACCCAGGCAAAAGGGGCCTTTCCCTCAGCCCAGAAGAAAGAGGAGCAAGTGGAACGCGGAAGAAAATCTGTACTGAGAGACTTGGGCCGAGCTTGTCTTCCAGTGAGCCAACCAAGACTGGTGCGGTCCCGTCCGGCCCCTCCACTCCAGCACCACCCAGCGCCAAACTTGCCGAGGACTCAGCTCTGCAGGGCGTGCCCTCCCTGGTGGCAGGTGGAAGTCCACAGACTCTTCAGCCGGTATCCAGCAGTCACGTGGCTAAAGCCCCCAGTCTGACCTTCGCTTCCCCCGCCAGTCCTGTCTGCGCATCAGACAGCACTCTACACGGGTTAGAGAGCAGCTCTCCCCTTTCACCACTGCCAGCTAATTATAGCTCACCTTTGTGGGCTGCGGAGCACCTCTGCCGCAGCCCAGATATCTTTTCAGAGCAGCGGCAGAGCAGACACAGGCGCTTTCAGAATACCCTAGTAGTTCTTCACAAATCTGGTTTGCTGGAGATCACTTTGAAAACCAAGGAGTTGATCCGTCAGAACCAGGCAACTCAGGTGGAACTAGACCAGCTAAAGGAGCAAACCCAGCTGTTTATAGAGGCCACCAAGAGCAGGGCCCCTCAGGCTTGGGCCAAGCTGCAGGCATCTTTAACATCTGGGTCCAGTCATACTGGCAGTGACCTAGAAGCATTCTCTGATCACCCAGACATATAGCACAGAAGCATATTTTCCTGTTACTTCAGTGGTTCTTTTAACTCTTTTGCGTTACCTACTCCTGTTTCCCAAAGCTTATGTAAGAGCTTTTCCTTCTAAACTTAACCGTGTAGCTGTTCACTTAGGAAGCGATGTGCCAATACATGGCTGCTATCTTAACCTGTGGTCTGGGCACAGATTACATATGTCTCTGTTGCACTGAGGACCTCAGGTTCGGAGTGCTCTTGAGTCCCTTTTCCTTAGCCTGCAGGCACTTAGGTGGATCATGGGGCAAAGCAGGATAGATGATTGTGTGGGGCTCTTCTGGCTGTCACCTCTCACCGTCCCCCTCATAACCGGGATCAAGGGTGCAGTAACAGAGATGAGCATGCAGAGTGATGCCTGTTGAGCCAGGGAGTAGGCGACCTAAGGATACCTTCATGCATCTTCCCTTGCCTGTCTTAGTCACATGGAAAAATAAGGGGAGGTGTGTTTGCATTCCACAAGGCATCATGCCAGGTGGGCGAAACCTAAAATGCTTTGGGCACAGGTTGTGCCTAGGTGCAAGCATTTAATCACTTAAAACTTTGTTTTCTTAAACTTGACAGTCAAGGAGAAAGGGTAGTACCATTTGACTCATACACTTTCATCACAAGCCAGATTCATCTTCACTTAAACTAGTAGGCAAAATACTTCAGATTTTTAACGTACGGAATGGGTTCAGAACCATCTGGAATTGTAGTTTATGAATTGTTCCTTTGACTTAGAGACTGAAGAAAATAGACATGGCCAGCATCTCATGGTCAGGAGCTGGAAGATTGTGGTTACTTAGGCTTTTTTTCTGTTTTGAAACAGTGCAACCTGTTTTATGTCTAAAAATCTCAAGGATAGCATCAGTGGTATAGTATAGTATAAGGTATAGTGTAAGTTAACCCTCTGTTGCCATGTTGGGGTGTTTTTTTTTCCTTTGTTTTTATAAAAGAGGAAAGAAGTAATTATTATGCTTGATAAACTTTGAATTAAATAAATTATCTTGAGGATATTATAACAGGCCCACACAAATTAGAAAAGCATTCTTCTTACCCATTTTCTTTTCCCATCCCAAGTTTTCATTTGTTCTGTGTCATAGTGACGGGGAGCAATTATAGAACAGTCTTCTGTGTTTCTTTTATGTGTTACATATTGGCAGCAAAGCCTAAGGTGTAAGGTTATCAGTAGTTACGTGGAGTTCATCTTGAAATGGAGAATTTCCAGATGATACACATTCTTTTCAGCTTCATTGTATAGATAACTAGATTTCTAAGTAGTAAAGTTTCAAAACATTTTCTCATTTAAAAATTTCATCCTCTTGAAAATCTTTGTTCTTTACAAAATTACCTATTAATAAGTTCTGTATGAGCAGCTTCATATTTTCTGTAAAGAAAATGTTGAAGTTTTTACCAAGACCAGAAGCTAATGATATTTAGGAGGTAGTTGTAACTCTAACATGGTTTAAAAATTATACAGCTTCAGATTGCCTGTACTTTGTTCACAAACATGTATGATTTAAATATGACTGATTTAGAGATAAACAACTCACTAACATCTCTAGACTCCCCTGATCACCACAAAATTATTACCTTGCCATTTGCTTTCTGAAGGAGTTTCAAAAACCAGAGCAAATGTGTCTTTAAGCAGACTCAGCTCCTTTTAATATTTTTCTCTTGGCCCACTCCTTTCCTCTCCACACACACCTCCCCCCCGCCCCCTGAATCTGTATGGTGCTATAGCAGCTCTACTCTGTGCACCATGCTAAGAAGCTTCCTTTTTGGCAGAATATGTTTGGCAGCAAAGCTACAGAGACAGGTGCATTCAGAACAGCCTGGGCACCAGTCATGAGTCTTACTGAGTGTCAAAAATCCGAAAACACTTGCTGAGAACCAAATTTATTCCACTGGAAAAACCCTCTGGAGCTATAAGCCTCTTGGACCCTTCTTCCTAGATTAAGTCTTGCATTTCCCTTCCTGTCATGGTAAAAGATGATGGAAGCCACTGTCAATCCTCACTGCTGAGTGGCAGGGAGAAGCAGCACCACCCCCAGCTCTTCTCTAATCTTGTAACTTAGTGCTAAAGCCTCTCTAGGCTGTCAGCATGGGTGTTCTTTCCCTAATGGAGCTGAAAGCAGATGAACCCAAGTAGAGAAGCTAGATCTTGGAAGGAGAGATCCATTGAGGCCAGCAGACATTTGGGGCCAGAAGCCAGATCAGCAAATGGAGGCACCTCAGCGTTGACCAGAAAGATCTCCGTCAATTGCGCAAGGCTGTAAGTAGTGATGGTCTTAGTGATGCATGACGTGACTGGCTGTGAAGCACTGTGGCAGAGCTGCTGTTTTCTGAAAGTGAGAAGCCATTTTTAGCTCAGATCAACCCTCGAAAAAAGTTTTAGCAGATTATTGCAATATTGGAGCACATCTAGAAAAAGTTGCTGATTGCATTGGTTACGGGACTGGAGTTTAACGACATTTGTAATTTATTACACTCATTGCTTTTTATTGATTATAGTATTATCTGACTTCTCTACTATGGTTTCTACGGCAGAGAAGTAACTCTTGTGCATATATTGAAGTGGTTTTCCAGCTATGAATTCTTTAGGATAGAAATTTATTAAACAAATGTGAATTCTTTTGAGAAAGTATGAAGTTTTGTAGAATTGACTGTGAAACGTCAGAGAAAAATAAAAGTCACTTACTTGAAAACTATTTGGCCTTTTTTGATTTTATAATTGCTTAAAAATACTAAGTAGTGGGCACAACAGTGTGTGCCTTTAATCCCAGCTCCTCGCTGAGGGGGCAGGTGAGAGGATCGCTTGAGACCAGGAGCTTGAGACCAGCCTCAAAAAAAGAAAAAAAAAATACTAAGTGAAACCTGGAGTAAATATTTGAGTTGATTTAAATTTCTAACATAGGTATTTATGTTTTTTGGAAACGTTGGCATTAGATACTGAACATGTGGAATTCATTGCTCAGACTTTCACTGATGTGGACTTAACAGAAAATGCAGGCATCTTAAAGCAAACGAGTAGGCCAGCGTTCCATGGTCTTGCAGGTTTATGCTGGGTAGGTTGGGAGGAGTGAGAAGAGAATACAGCCCAGTGATTTCTCCCATCTCATCTGACACTTTCACAAATAGAACTTTTAAATGACAGAACAACTACAGTTGTATACTGGGATAAACTAAAGCCACGTGAAGTTCTTTCTACAGCAAGTACACCTCCAAGCCTTCATGCATGCTTCCTGAAGCCTGTTTCTTGTCAAGCTTCACCTAGAGAATCTTGCCAGGGAGACATGTGGAGTCCTCCCTGCTTTCCAGACCAGTCCCTTGCTGGGATTTTTTAAGACACTGGAAAAATAAAAAGCTTATCCTCATTAAAAGGCCTGCAGTGTTGTTATAGTCTTATAGTTTTTATAATACTATATAATTTTTTTTTGAGACAGAACCTTGCTCTGTTGCCCTGGCTAAAGTGCAGTGGTATCATCATAGCTCACAGCAACCTCAAACTCCTGGGCTCAAGCGATCCTCCTGCCTCAATCTCTCGAGTAGCTGGGACTGCAGGCATGCACCATCGTATCTGGCTAATTTTCTGTCTTTAATAGGGTCTCACTCTTGCTCAGGCTGGTCTCGAACTCCTGAATTCAAGCAGTCCTCCCACCTCAGCTCCCTAGAGTGCTAGGATTACAGGCATGAGCCACCGCGCCCGGCCATAATGCTGTATAATTCTTACAGCATTATTTCTGTTCTACACAGTTGTCTAAGTGACTTTGAAAAATAGTGGCTGTAAGGCCACTAGAATCAAAGAAAGATGGGTGACGATGGCTAGAGAAGGCTCCTCCTGAAATAAGGAGAACCATCCTTCCCTGAGAAGTGGGGTCCAGAGAGGCAGGGGAGTACACGAAGCAGACCCTGGGAGGCTGACGAGAGCCCAGGCACTTGAGTTCGCAGCTCCCCGCCCCGGGCATGATTCCTACCTGCAGAAAAACTTGCCCCTCCAGGACTGCCTGTCTGCGAGTATGTCTGTTTACCCCACGTCTTTTATGGCATCACCACAGCTTGTAGCCTGGTGCGATGGGGTCTAAAGACCTGCAGTCACATGTCTATTAACTCATTAACTCGGTGACTTTGGATAAGTCACTTCACCTCTCCAGATGTCACTTCTCTCACCTGAGTAACAAATAATTTGAACTAGTTATCTCGAAAGTCCTTCCCAGTGCTAACCTTTTGTAGGATCTACAGTTGTGCTATGGGTAAGCCATAAAATAAATAGATTAAATACAAGAAAAAGCCAGGGGTGCTTAGAAAAGAGGTTCTGAGTGCTCTGGGAAAATGGTTTTGTATTACAGTGTTCTGTTGGATTGTTAACTTCTTTATACGTGACTCTGGGAGAAGCATTTTGCCTGTCTGCGTTGGTTTGTGTTTCTTACGATTATATGGTTGCTGCTAATGTGGATTTACTGATTCCTGTGTAAAAAACTCTCAAATCTTATTGGCCCAAAAGGAGACTAGTTTGGGGTTAGATCACATCATGTCTTTCCTGGTCAGTCGTCTGCGGCGTTTTCCTTTCATTTGACACAAAGGATGTAAGTTTTTATTCTGGAGAGTATGTCAATGAGCTTTTTATTTCCTTTCAGACTTCTCTTCCCCACAACCAGGAATGATGTTTCTGCGTGTGTGATAGGAGCCTCCTTGGGTTAATTTAACATTGTTTTCACTGTCAGTATTAAGGGGCGACATAGATGCAGTGGTAGTTTGTGACGTCTTTATTCTGGTCCCAGCCTCTGGGGTCACCTTTCATCCACACTGGAAGAGAGATCAGAGATGAGAAGAGGTTTGCCTGGGTGACACAGCGCAGTCAGGATTGCTGAGAGAAAGAGGCAGCAGGAATCAAGGACAGGTCCCTGCTCTTGCAGCCTGTGTCTCTGCTACCTCAGTTTCCTTTAGCAAAAGAGAAGGGGAATAATCCTTGCTGTACACTTGACGTTATGGTGCGATGTGAAAAAAAAGTCTTGAAAGTGTTAAAATTTCTCTGCAGAGCAAGGCAGCCTCGGTGATCACAGACCTGGTGATGACATTCAAGCGTTGGCATTCAGCCCTTAGAGGTTGTCATTTGCTTAGGGTAATTAAGACTATCTTCTACCAAAATCTCATTTATAGCTAACGGGAAGAAAGCAAATGTCAACCCAGGACAGTTACTTTCTGACTGGCTTTGGAAGAAGAGGTTCTGTGAGTCCATGTGTGACCACTTTGGCTTTTTCCTCTCAGAATCCCTCCTTCATTCTTGGAACACGTGGCTTTCCTGTCTCTTTCTAAAGAATGGTTACGCAAGACAGAATTGCTTGAAAGAACAGTCTGTGTGGTTCCTGCCTCAAATGACTGCAGCTGGAGGAGAAGAGATGAGCAAGACAGCGAGAAAAGCCTGTGGAGTACGAAGTTAACCCAGGGAGTGGGTGGAAGCTGTTAGGAAATGAAGGAAGAATAAAAACCGAAAGTAGGATCCCGCGGCCAGCCCTCGTGAGGGCCCCAGTCAGGTTGAATGATCATTATGGTTCCCAGTGAGGCCTTCAGAGTGGCTCGAGCGCGTGAGAGTGAAAACAGCTGCCTTTAATTTTCCTGAAGACTCACTAGATCTCAAGAATCGCAGTGGCTTTGGAAGGGTGCTCATTCATTCTGGTAAAAATGTCTTCATAACAGAGGGAGCTAGGGCCTCCGTTCTCTGGGAACACTGAGCAAGCCTTTGCCTGCTGGGTGGGCAGATGGGAGTGTTTGGCCTGGAGCCTGCCCTTCACTTGAGGGTGAGGGCGAAAAACCAGAAGCCCTGAGAAATCAGGACCTGCTGCTACTTGTAGATGGTAAAGCATCACAGTATCTCCACAGAGAGCTGGGTTGAAATCACCGTCTCCATGCA